ACGGCATCGCGTCCCAGCACTTCCAGTGCACACACGCACTCCCCCAGCTGCTCGTTCCAGTTTGGACAGTGTAAACTAGGAGTAAACTTCTTGAGTACGGGCAAAGCGGGCTGGATAGCGGTAACCCCTCGAGAGGCCACCAGAAACGCAGAGGCCCTCGAGCATCTCTCAGCCTTGCAAGCTGCCTTGGCGCAGGCGGCAGAGTCGAGGGGAGAAAACCCCTTCGCTGCAAGGAGACGGCAGGCCAGGAGCTGCACGACTCCCGGCTGAGCTCGTGCCACAGGCTCCAGCCTCGTCATCCCCTTCCCGTGGCCGGAGACGCTCGCAGGGCTCCCAGGGCGAACACAAGGCTGCGATTCAGTCCGAGGGCTGCGCCGAGGCGGCGGCGCTGGCGAACCTCAGCACGCGTCTGGAGGGAACCGACCCCGCTTCACCCCAGGCTGCCCTTTCTTAAGCTCCAGTATGAAATATTGTTTCAGTCGGTTTTAAATTACCAATGTCTTAATGGTCTAGCAGTTCTTGGCCTTCCCTTTTGATGTCATTAGAAATGGAGTTACACAACCAGTTGATGGGAAAGCCGGTGTCCCACAAGAACAGCCCCAAACACCCAGAGCGTTGTGTAACGAGAACATTTGGCTTTTTGTTTCCTTTTTTTTTTTCCTCCTCTTTTTTAATTACAGCCCAAGAACACTGTAGCCTCGGTTAAAGGCACAGGTACCTTCGCAGACAGAGAGGAAACCTTCCTGGCAATCCCCGGAGAGCGAGGCCCAGACTCCACCACCGAGGCGGACGTGACCCTGCTCTCCTGCAGCACCAACACGGGCTGGGAAACCGTGTCCGTCAGGAAGAGCTTTGCTTAACTGCAGCTCCCCACGAGGGCCCGTTCCCCACCACGTCGCAGCCCCGCAGCCCAGACAAACTGACAGCATGGGAGCCGCTCCGAGGAGCCGGATTTGTGCTCCTGCCTCAGCCGCCTGCAGCGACAGCAACAGGAGAACAACAACAAAGCCATTTCATGAGAATTTCAACCCAGTGGGAGGCTCTTTAAAGTTTGTTCAACAGTGCAGAGCCCCTTTGAACTTAGTATCCACTGAGGGTGCCATAAAAAACAAAAGTGTGTTTACCAGAAAACAATATCTGAGACTGAAAACACTGCAAATATTGCAGGAAGTTTAAAAAAAAAAAAATCATCTCAGGATGACTTTAAAGAAAAGATAGTCTCTGTATTTTACCTGCCCTCCAAAACGTATGCTGAGCTGCAGTCAGCACGGACACAGTTTACTGCCTCACTGCTGGCCTCAAACTCCCCCCCCCCCCCCTCCCACCTCCACTATTTTTTGGGTCGGGGCTGGGTTTCCTCTCTGTCTGGAAATGTTTTGAATTTAGGCAGAGGAATGGCGGCAGGGACGGAAGAGCACGTCCATCGGCTCACGCGTCCCCCTTCCGCACTGCTTCAGGGGTTCCTGTGGGATGCTATGCCATGAACATCCGCTGCAACTGACTTTCTGGAAGTTTAAACGCTTCAAAACAAGCTGCATCAAAGAAGGGTGATAACAGTGAGGGGGGTTAGTTCAGCGACCAGCTCACTACTGTGGGCACAGCAATCCCTTGCAGAAACACACACCACAGCGTTTGACAGCCACAGACCCACGGCTCTACTGACATGGCAACTACAGCGTGCTCAGGGCCGTATTTGCAGAATACCGTAAAGATGAAAACGTTCACAAGGTACCTCGTTAAACCATGGCTACTGTTCTACAATAGCAAACTCGCGTTCGCTGTTCCTGTGTGTGTCCCTTGTGGGAAGGGTTCATCTCCCTGGGTGGGCTATGCAGAGCTTACGACAGGGTGGTCACGGGCTCAAAAGTAGAACAATCAAACCAAAAAGCAACAGAAAAATTCCACATCCAGTTCTGGGGATAATGAGAAATTTTCTGTGAAGTTTCTGCTGCTGCCCTGTCCCTCAGTGACACATCTCATTCCACCTTTGGGGAGAACAAGCAGCAAAGAGGTCTTAAATTAGGATGTATTCTCTCTTTTTCCATACCAAAATTCAGCTTAACATGATGGGCCTTGGAAGGCTGCAGATATTGTTCTTTTCCGATTCAAAAATTACAAGCTTTTACAGTGGACCACAAATGCCGTTAGCAGCATCAGTGTCATTAGCAACAACTTCATCCATTGGAGAAATTGCTTTAGTTATGTTTTTCTTTAGGAAATGAAATTCTACCACTCTTACCCCTTTACTCACGATCTCTCTAATACCCAGAAGAAAAAAAAAAAAAAAGGAGGGGGGAAGGGGGCTATGAAGTCAATGAAATGAGGATAAAAGAAATCAGGTTTTTGAAAGGTGAACTTTGTCTTAAGGCAGACTGAGATTTCAGCTGGGACTTACTGAATTCAACATTTATGCGATGCTATGCTGGTACCTAGTTCAGTGTTTTCCTATACAGCTATTGCCACAGAAATGATGGCGATAACACCATGAAATATTGTGACGTAAATGCCAGAGCCAGCAGGTTAATACAAAAAAGTCATTAGCAGCAAGTGGAAAATAATGAAGGAAAGTTCTTAATAAGCAAGCAAGCAAGTTAAGGATTTAATTAAGATCAATTTAAAAAAAAAAAAATCCTCAGTGTGATAGCTCTTCTTTAAAACCACTGTGAAATGATATTATTTGGTGATATTCTTCATCAATGATAAAACTCATTCAAAGATGTGTCCAAACCAAGCATCCCCCACACCTCAGGGAGACTTGGACTGATTTCTGAGCTCTTTGTGGATTGGACTAATCTGCATTAGATCGAGGTGGCTGAAAGAGAAAATCCTTTTCCTTTGCCTCACAACTAATTTTGCTGGTATATATTAGCACTGGGAACCCTCAAGTTCAACCCAAGCCCTGCAGGCAAACCGGTCCTGAGAATATTACAACCAGGACACTACAGACAGAGTGGAAGGTGACAGACTAAGGCTCTCTGTCCAAGAAAGAGGTCCAGAATAGGTAGTGACCTCCCATCACTGTCCTGCCAAAACAACTCAGCCTTCAGCTGGAAGAGAATTCCTTCTAGGGAGGGAAAATCGAGTTCAGGTTTTACAGTTCATGACCTTATTGATGCAAATGCCTCTCCACAGGCACTGGATCTGAGATGCTCCAATTCATTGCACATAGGTCCCTGAACAGCCACACACTGGCCATAGCTTTGGGTACTTCTGCACTGCAGAGATACCCAAACCAGCTGTGATTCTCCGTAGGTTTACTAAGCTCAGGCAGAGCTCTATGCTAACGCAGCTAAAACAGCCCCTGAGCTGGCTTAGGTATCTCCACACTGCCCTGCCATGGAATAAGCAACTGACAGCAAAGGTTTCAACGCAATGATTGCGTCGCCTCTTCCTCCGCCACTGCCTCAAAGCAAAGATCTGTGGCTGGCGTAGCAATAACAAATAGCTGCTCATAGTAACTTGTTGATTTAATCATGGTCATTGTCACACGCGCTTGAAGAGAAGCTGCCACCTACTATTAACTCAAACTCTTTTTGCTGAAGAGCATCCTGAAAGGACCGAGTACTAGTGGGTATCATTGGAATCCTTATCACAGAATGGACCCTGTTCATGCAGGGTCACCTAGAGCACGTTGCACAGCATTGTGTCCAGACAGCTTTTGAATATCTCCAGAGAAGGAGACTCCACAACCTCTCCGGGCAACCTGCTCCAGTGCTCAGCACCCTCACAATAATGCCTCTTCTTCCAAAATGGTTTTGTGCTAAGAGAAGGATCCTGTACAAAGCATTAACTCTTGGAGTATCCTGGCTTCCAAACCACATAGTTTACAAAAACACCGAAGAGAAAACGTTCAACAACCTATTTTCTAATGCATGAGCGCAAAGATTTGTAACAGAGACTAGTGCACCTCACTTGTAGGGTGAAGATGCTTTTGATTTCCAATTAACTATCACCTCGAGCGCAGAGCCATTGCGAACAATTGTTAAAGAACTGCAGTTTTGCTTAAAAGGTGATACTTTTGACCAAATAAAGCAACATGTTCCTAGGAGGACAGCTCTGACCACCTGGGAACAAGAGAGGCGAGGCTGCTCCACTTGTGAGCACAGGAATTCTGGGTGGGCTTAGGCAATGGCACTGCAATCACCCACAACAGCAAAACAAGTTTCCCCTAGCAGATCATGGTTTACGTTCTCTGAAAGGCAGACTGTCCGTGGGGCGATCTCCTGCTAGCCAAGCAGGACCTGATGCTGCAGTTTGCACTGCAGGGGAGGAACAGGCCTGCAGTATCCTGCTGCTTAGCGCAAAGAGCAAAACAGACCAGCCACAGCAGAATGACAGCAAAGCGAGGCTCCAGCCATCCAGGGACATCTGCCACTGCCTGCCACCCCCAGACCTGGTTGGTCCCATCTCCCCTGCACCTACTAGAAGAAACAAAGCATAATGAAGGGCATGGTGACAGCTCACAGACAGACCCTAGGGAATGAGCAAGGACATCCCCAGCCACACTCTCTCTCTCAGATTGATTTAGGGGCAATCATCAGTCACACTGAAGGCTATGAACAGGGCCCTTTGGAGAGCAGCATGGTGCCCACCCCATGCTGGATGGAGCCAGTCTACAGAAAAACATGGGATGAGCAATCCAAGGCCCTGGCCTTCTGCTAATGGCAATTCCCTGGATTTATCAGGTGGAGCTCCACCCTTAGGCCTGTACCTGCTGCTGTGCTAATTCTTAGGGCTGTGAGGGGGACATTCTGGTAAAGAGCGTCCCAGAAAACCAGCCCGGATAGCAGCTCAGTAACTAGGGGATGGCTTGGACCTAGAAGCTAAGTGCCAGGCAGCTGAGGGGGACCCAGAGTGCTCTTTTCAGGAACAGAATGCAAGTCAGGCATGGCCCCCCGCACCCTTTGTGCAACACTAACCTGCTCTGCCTTGTCTCACATAAAACACTGCCAGTGGCACTTTCGGGGCAGACTCCCAAGCATCCAGCATGTATTTTTGCACGAGTGCGTGTGTGTGTGTGTGTATGTGTGTGTGCGCACGCGCGTCTGTGAGCTAACGTCAGCCAAAGCACTTTAACCATCTTTGCTTTTCAAACACCTCCCTTGGCCAGGTAAGTCAGACGGGTCCTACGCAGGACCGCCCTGCAGCCACGTTACGGTGCACAATCCCAGCCCCTGAGGCTGGCCATTCGCTTGGCTGACATCACTAAAATCGTGTCTGTGAGCAGTTCCACCATAGCCTTGAGGATATGCAGCTCGTTGCTAACTTTAGTTTTACAAAACAAAACGAGTAAGCCTACACAGAACTGAAGTACAGCTCTCGACATCACGCACACACAGGCTCATGGGACTCCCTGCTGCCAGACACACTGGATCCTTTTGAAGTTGGAATTCCTTTCCTGGCCCATGTTTGTACCAACAACTTTTCATCACAGGGTTGCTCATTTGCCAGGCTAAAAGGTGGTGACAGGAGAGCTGGAAGAGGCAAGGCAGAGCAGGTGGCACAGCGTCAGACGTGAAGCAGCTCTGACGGGGTGCTCCAGCGCCTAGGTTTCATTTCATGAGGGATCAGAAGCATTTTCTTCTTGTGTCGTCTTAAAATAATATTGTGCGTTTCCTCAAGCTGAACGTCTCTGCTTTTCCCGCTTATGATTCTTGTGGAACCACCTCCATCAGTTTCTGGCACAGGACTGTTGTGGAGACTGCATGGGAAGAAGCAAAGCACAGGTCAGAGAGAGCAGGCAGGGGCCCACGTACAACCTGATCTCAATTCATGATGCTCTGCCTCAAGGGGGCTCACCCGTTTGCCTTCCGACTTAGGTTTTCAGCAAGATTAGTCCAAATACAATTTGAGACTCAACAGCTTCACACTCAACAAGACCATGGGCTGCTCTCTGTTCATGCCCACAGTTTCAGCACATAACACGAGAGGCCTTTGCCCCTGCAGCAAGGGTGCTGTACTGCCCTGAGAGAGATGCCCTGTACTTCACACCAGCCTCTAATTGCACAGAGATACAGTAAGCAAGTTCAGGCATCAGAACTGCAGGCATCCAAAACTGGGTCAGCCACAACAGCAGGAACACGCATTAAAAAAAATAAAAATATGAGCTGACATTTTTACTTCCACTTTTGAAAGCCCAGGCTGTACACGCACGCCGCTTCTTTAAGGACTCAAGCAACCAGGACGAAACCAGCTCAGCATACTGAACACAAGGCAGTCACTGCCTTGCAGCAACAGATGGGATGGCATGTGCACAGAATAGGTGAAGAGCAAAGGAAGCGTTTCAGTTGCAGGCTGTGCACTGCAGAGGTGATAAACTAGAATATCTTTACTTTTCCATCCATTAGTTCTGGTGGCTGGTATCCAAACACACTTGTGCTTTCTGCTACTTCACTGTGTATTTGGAGGTCACAAGATCTGGCCTTGCCAGATAAAACTAATAGTGATTCTAAATACACACAAGCAAAGTCAAACTCAGATTAGTAGATGCGATCAAGTTATCTGCAACATATGAATATATGCATGGGTTTACAGATCATATGTTTTTAACTGGGCATTTGCAGGAGTCTCATCTTGTGTTCCTAGAATTTCTTCTATATTCTCCTTAAAAGCCCTTGGTGGTAGAACACAATTAACAAGCTAATTTGCCACCCAGGCACTGCAAAAAATGGCTTTTCCAAGAACTGAGCCCAATGCACAGAATAAAAAAGCGTGTGAGAGAGAGAGTGAGAGAGAGAGAGCAAGTGCGCGCAAGAGAGATTAAAAAAAAAAAAAAAGAATAACAAGTGCTGAGTGCTGTTAAAAGGCTTTTTCTTCTTCATTAAAAGCACCCAGCTAAGGCTGGGCATTTCTACTTGTCTAGTTTTCTAGGTCAGCCTGTTGTATGAGAGCTGGGAGACAGATGGTAGAGTTTAGTTACTTGGACAACATAGATTGACTTTCTTGATTCAGTTGTTCAGACAGAGATTATATGGTGCCAAGAACAGCCCTTCCAGCCCTCCGAAACTCACCATGGTGTAATGTCAGCTGTTGGAAAACCTTATAGAAAGATACCTTAAAATAAGCCTCCTAAGAAAAAACATCCAGGGGACTTTCTCTTCTCTCTGCTGCACTGTCACATTTTGATGCCAAGGAGAGCTTTGACTGGATCAGAAGTGTTATCACTGGCTAAGTGACGGATTGGGACTATTTCCGAAATCACAGCAGCCAAATTTAGGCCAACTGTGCTCAGACTGTCATGCTGTTACTTCTTTTCCCTTCCTACCCACTGGAAAGGTATTCTCTGCTAACAAAGGCTGACCCTGCGCTTTCACAGGAGGCAGAAGTAAAGCAGCAATGTGCTCAGGGAATCCTGCCTCACTGCACAATATTCCGTTTGCCAAGAGAAAAAAAAACTGGGTATTTAGCCCAAGCTTTGTAATTATCGTAAGTCAGGGGGCATTTTGGGTGCTGGGCAGATACAGTAATCATTAGGTTAAAACTTGTTTTAAAAAAAAAAAAAAAAAAGTGATCAGAGCTAAGATGTTAGAAGCCTCCATTACACAAGTGAGAGCCAGAGCTGCTAGCTGTAGCATGCTCACCAGGAAACACGGCTATTCTTGGAGCAAAAGCCAAGGCTGCAGCCTTGCTCTTCACTGGTGATACTTACAGATGCCTTGGAGAATCCACTTGGGCTTGTTTTGCCACCAGACCCCAAAGAGGTAAACGGGGATCCCACTGAAGATGATTGCAAAACCAATAGCACATTCCTTCGGCGTCATCCAGAAGGAAACAGCGATGAGAAACAAGCAGGCCAGGATGAAGAAAATGGGCAGGCAGATATTCACCTAAAAAGGACCCAAAGAGCAGGTAAGAAGTTATAGCAGGGCCAGCAAGAAAAGTGGGCCAGGCGACTCTCCAGTGAAGATGATTTAGCTGCACAGCCCAGGAGGGAAGCAGTTCAGGATCCACAATGGACCCTATGTGGATGGTGTTCCTGCCTGCCCCAGGACTCTAAACAAGGGGACCATGAGCTTGAATTGCTGTAGGGAGGTTATTAATTTAGCCACTGCTCTTCAGCCGCCCTGGAGAAACTGGGAGTAGGCTAACATGCACATTTCAGAATGGCAAAACAAAGCACAGAGATGTGGCTTGCCAAGATAGCATCAGCCTTCTCAGCACCCACAGTTTCTGGCACTAGTTCCATACTCGAGTGATTCCTTATAAAAAAGCATTCATACCAATAGCATCAAATAAAGCAGCAACCTCAGCACAAGCCGTACCACCATCACTGTAAATTTCTCAGGAGACTCAGCTACGCTGCTTTTAGCATGGGCCCTGCTGAGAACACCCTCGCTTTCTTTTAAAAAACAAATGAAATACCCCATGAGGAGTTACTTGGGAAGGCGCTGGTGCACATCTGTAAGTTCATTTCTCCCTGGTTGAGTGTTGCCTGGCAGAGATCTGAGTGTGCTTGGGGGATGAGTGAGAAGCATGCCTTTAGGGAAGGCAGACACGCTTGCAGCTGACATGATCTGGGCCTCCTCCCAGATGGGGCACGGTACTGCCAAGCTGGCCAAGGACAAATAGAACAAAGTTCTCGGCTCTGCAGAGCTTTCAGGCTTGGATTTGTCCGCTTTATTCAAAAAAAATATTTTAAGTGAATTCCATGATAGTACACAGTGTTTCACCAAAACTCTATGAATTGTTCACAGACTCTATGAAATGTCCCGGGGAACACGTTAGCCACTGAGAGCTTCTCACTGGGCAATCCCACTAGAACACCTCACATGTCTGACACACAGAGCTTCCTTCACTTGAGCGTCCTGTGGCCACGGCAACTCTTCCCCTCCTTGGCGGCGAGAGCACCAATTCGCATTCAGCAGATTTCTGTGCAGCAGGGATACCTTCCTACCAAGTTAGGTACATGGTTCACACTTCCACAACATTTCCTCTGCCTGCCTGCTAGCTACACACTTGCAATCTGAGTCCCTCTTTCATTCAGTAAAAGCTGCTGTACTTCCTGCTCCTCTCCTGGTGCTGAGAAGGCGCTTCCCCAGAGAGGGATCAAGGTTTTGTCCCTGCAGCCTGAAGCCTCTGATCTCTCGTACAGCTTGCAACTGCTGTTTTCAAGCTGGCAGAACCATCCCTCTGACCACAAATGAAAGTGGCCTATGCAGGCAGGACTGCCCCGTGCAATAACCACAGACTGTTCTCACCTTGATGGGCCTTTCCAACTCTGGCTTCTTGTAACGCAGCCACATCATGCCAATGATGGCCAGAGCCACGCACAGCCAGTTGAAGAAGCTGAAGAAGTTGATGACTGAGAAAATGTTGTTGGAGAATGCATACAGCAGGGTCATGACACACTGTAGCCAGAAACAGAAGCCGTTACCAAAGGGAGAAGTAGGCAAAACCACATATATTACTACATCAGACACAGGTATTTTAGATGAACTATCTGCCAAGAATGGAAACGAGCTGATTAATATTTACCTATCTATCCTATTTTCAGTTGGTGCCTGGAGTGATTTCAAAATGGAATGTGGAATGTAAGGACAGGGTGAGAAGGGTCTATCCTGCCCCAGAGCTGGCAGCAGAAATGGCTGTGTTTGAAGGGGGCACCCAAGAAGTCCTTCTCCAGCCACTCTAATGGGACCCTACCTCCACACCAGTTCGGTGCTCAGCTGGACAGACCCAGGAGCTTACCGTGAAGATGAGGGATGGCACTGGAGTGAGAAGCCGAGGGTGAATCATAGACAGGATTGAAGGCAGGTGTCCTTCTCGGGATCCCACAAAGAACAGTCTGAGGCAAGGGAGATAGAGCAGTTACCCCTATGTCAACCCTTAGCTCGAGGCCAAGTTTGTCTTTAACAAATAATAAGTGAGGATAGCCCATGATCAGCCTAGATGGTGCTGAGCCAGCAAGATGGAAATGCCCTTTTTACGCAAGTTTTACACATTAGCAGTGCAGTAGCACAATGCCAACTGTGACCTATTTTGCTAGTCACTGGTTTGAGAGTGGGGCCCACCAGGATCATACCCCAAACAGCAGGTTCTGCACACGTGCACAGTGGAAGGTCCGTGCCTTGGAAGGGAGGCAGGAGACAGGCAAGGAACGCAAGAAAGGAAATGTTTATATCCTCCTTTCCAGAGAGGACAATTTAAGCAACTTTACTAAGATAACCGGGGAAATGGGTGTCAGAGCTGAAACCTCCCGTGTGCCAGTCCTGTCCCACCCTTTCTCCCCTTCTGGAGGAATTCTCAGCCCCGAAGTTCCACAAGCTTCTGGTTTTCATTAAATCCACTTTCTCAGGCTATGACACCGAGTTTCAAGCCTGTGTGTGTTTATGTCCTAATAACTTCAACAGGACTTTGCCTGAGGAACAGAAGACTGAGACCACTGCAGGAGATTCCTTTAAACTAAATATGGCTTTAAAGCCTTAAACAAAAAAAAAAAAAAAAAAAAAAGGAATTCTCATTCCTGACATGGCCTCCAGATCTTTTAGACTTTGCACCTACCCACAGCCACTCTTTGGAGGCCAGTTCTAGACAAAGAGGCATTAAGCACTGCTTGTAAACAAAACCCACAGAACTGAGCAAGAAACCTACCGGGAAGAAGTGAAGAGAGATCCATTAACAGATCCAAAGCACGATAAGCCAACAAAGACAGGGATGATCCAGGACATGACACCGAGGTGATAGTTGCCAAAATCCTAAATGAGGGGCAACAAGAAAGATATTTCACACTTAAAAACACCTAAGAGAACTCACAGCTGCCTACAAAGACTTAAAATTTGTAGAAAACTGAACCATTAACATGGCTTAGTAGCTCAAGCTTTTAAGGTGTTTTCCACATTGCCATCAACTGCTTCACCTTCCTAAAAAAGTATTTTGTGGAATTGCACAAAATCAGCAGAAAGCCTTTCCTTCAGAGTCAGGACACAACATCTACTAGACTAGCTAACTCCAGAAGCTCGAGACTAAACTGAAACTGCATGGAGATTCAGAGACTTTTGGCCATTGCCAATTACACGCAGGGAGCTGATTCAGGATGCTGGGAGACAGCTCTTTACAAACACAGTGACCCAGTATTGCAGTTTTACATTGCAAACTGACCTTTCTCTGCTTCACTGCAGTTTTATGTTGAAATAATTATGTTGATTCCAACAGACTTGCAAAGGAACATGACTAGAGTAACCCAGAGCAGGCTGGTACGTCCAATAACTCGACCCTCTATACTGCGAGCAGGGGTTTAGTGCTAACCCGAAGGAGAGAGTGCTGTCATCTGAACGGCCCAGACCAATCTATACTGGCATGGGATATTGCTCTCCAGCAATCCTGGTCACACCTAGTTTGCAAGACCATGCAATGCTGCTCACTTCTGAAGCAATCAAGACTTCTGACTGCAATGGCATTTCAATTAATAGAAAAACTATTTTTCTCTCTTAATTAGAGCAAGGAAGACACAGAGAGAGAACAGCCTAGTTCAATATTGACTGAATGACCTTTTCCCATAAATACCATGCTCTGGTAACCTGATAAGTCAGGCGGCCAGCAGCACCTCTGGGTATTTATGAATTAAGAGCAGCACTAACTGCCCGCCCACCCTTGCTCTTCTCTGTGATAAACCCCACGTAGTATCATGCTGTTCTTCTCTGCTCCCGTCACAGTTGCTCTTTATCTCCCGTCAAACGTGAGCTGTTTTATAAGCAGCCATGATCAGCGTGGAACAAACTAGGAGATATATGTAGAGATTATAAGTCTAATTTAACCAGCCTTGGAAAACAAACGAGTCACGTCAGAAATGCACCTATCTTACCACAGCCACAGCTTCGGACGTCAGCATCTGCTCTGTCGACAGGGTTGTGAAGTAAGCTAAGTTTGTCAACACATAAACCAAAGTGACTACAGGTAGTGAGATGATGATAGCCAGAGGCAGGTTTCTAGGAAGAAAATATAAATTGTAATGAGCTCTGCAGTTCAGACAGAAGAGTTGTCGATGCCAGGGAATGTTATGGAAGAAGGTTGCTGCTGCTGCAGCCCTTCTGGATTCACTTAAATTTGGCATGAGCCATTCTGCTTTTCTTTGGCTCCTCAGCAAATCCCGTTTCCCAGCCACACTCTGCTTCTCTAGAAGGAGAGAAAAAAAATGCTCACATAGGAATAGCCGAGAGGCTGACAGATGCAGAGTGAAGGACCACGGCAGATGGCACTTTTTGTGTGGAGGGACTCTGGCTCTCTGGGCAAGCAGCAAACCAAGTTCACTGCAAAAGCAATTAAAAATAAGCCCCCACTTCTCTCGCTAGCTAGTGGCATTAGCACACGCATGCTCTTCTGAACAGAGAAGCAGCATTTATGCCAGCGTCTTTCTTGTGGGAGATGGAAAGGTCAGGGATTCAGTGGGCAATTTTTAGGGCTCTAACTCTGTGCAGCTGGCTGGACTTACGAAGCCCACGGAAAACAAACTCAGACACAGCCTAGGTGGTGTCGTCTGAATACAAATTTGCCTTTCCCAATAGTCTAACTTAATTCATGAACAGTAATTGAAAAAGGAAACCCTGCATGATGCCACATAATTGGTCTGTGGAGCTCAGAGCCACAGGAGGTGAGCGTCAAATACCATGACTGCATTCAGAAGGCAAGAAAATAATTGCAAACTGCAAAAACTTTCATAACAGTGTTTGTCAAGGAAAGGGCGTATCAAATCTCATGCTTCCCAGCAGGCACTAATCACTGCTGGGGTCAGCCAGGAACGGGCTCTTGCACAACCGATCCTGGAGCCCATATTGAGAGAAGGCTGCACCTTCCCTACCACCAGCAAAAGCAAACTGCCAGTGATGTCCTGCTTTGGTGTGGCCAACCCTCATTTCACCAGGTCCCCTGCATAACCCTGAAAGGCATGGGCAGCGCAGAAAGCGGCCTATTGTTTGATGGGACGGAAAGAGCACAAGGCAAACAGATATATGTTCAAATACGTCTGGGAGTTTACACAAGACAGTAATAAATCTGTAAGTGCCTCTTCCTTGCCTGTAATTCAGACAGCTGCCAGGCCAAGGAAGTGAGACTTCCCAACATCACTGATAATATTAACAGTGCAGGAAAGCAGCATAAACAACAGTCCTCCTCATATAGACGTTATTATTATCCCCTCCCCCTATTGTATGGGGGAACAGTGCCATTATCTGTCAAGTTTTGGTAGTGATAGCTAAAGGTAGCCCCTTCTTCCCTTTCCCTAGGGGACCTTGGCTTCTGGGCTCATTAGCAACATCTGTTAAACACACAAGGCAGCCACAAGGAAGGGACATCCCGAGAACAACCACTTTTCCTCCTGGGGAAGTCATCACAGGACACACACATACCTGTAGGGATTTATCATCTCTTCTGTGACAAAATTCAAGTAATTCCTGTAATTTAAAAAGGACGGTGATTAATTCTGGTTATGCCACCCAATAAATCAAGCCCTTAATTTACATGTGTGCAATGGAATTTTAGGAGGGGCAGAGAGACTGAATCCCGCTGAAAAACTTATGCTGGCTGATGCATAGTTCAGGACCTATAGTACAAAACCCACAAAAGCCTGAGCCCTGAACGCTGCTGGGGATCTAGCATACCATGCTGCCAGCCAGCTTCCTTACAACATGAAGGGCGAAGCTTGTGAAAGACCTTCTTTTGCACAGAGCTGTTAGCCACAGCAGCCTCTCTACTTTGCCATGTCTAATGCGTCTGTTGGCCTGTACCACATCTCTCCTGCTAGAGGAATCCATCCTGGTGCTTTCTCTTAATACTGCCTCGGAGGTGCACCAAAAAGCCCATTACCTGCTCACTGGGATTACGTTCTTTGTGCTTCCATGTCCTAGCTGGAAACAGGGTGTGAAGTATGACTATTAACGTTACTAGGCAAAACCAAAACATCTGCATCATCGCCCTCATAACAAGAAAGAGCTGGTCCTGGACCAGGCTCGTCCTGCAAGCAAACAAAATCTAGGAACAGGAGGAATGAGCTACAACATTTGGCGCTGAAAAAGGAAAGAGGGCTGCCTCTTACCATCCTCCATAGGCAAAGAGACCGCTGTACAAGGCTAACACAATGCTCCCCACATCGACTTTTGTACCTTCAAAGGAATGTTCAGGAGTCAGGTTTGTCACGTCACCTGCAGAGAACAGAAACAAGAAAGGACTGATTCTAAAACCAGCAAGACTGAACTTGAGGGACCTTCAGCAGGGTTACGAAAGGAAAGAGAGAAAGCTCGAGGCAGAAGCTGCTCTGAGGACACATAATTACCATGCTGATGCATTGCTGGTTGCATTAGCGAGCATGTGCACCTATTTCTGTTGAGCTGCCTCCTCCAGTTTTATAGTGCTTAATTCCTCTGGAGTAACGCATCAATTCATCAGGGCCAAACATACCTGTCTCAAGCAAATGGCCATTATAGAGCGCTCAAATTTTCTCACACTGTGCAATGTGCCATCGCTGAGGTAATCTCCCAGACATCTCCCTCCCAGTGAAGAAAACACTGAGGTCCTTCTGGCTGGAAGATACTATTCAAACAGATATTGTCACATTGTCTTCTCAACTGAAAGCTGCTTTTATTTGATAAAAACCCAGGATTTCCTCTAGTTCCACCAGCAACCTGATAAAGCAGAGGGTTACAGCAGTCTCTTTGATTGTGGGAAGTTAGCTTTTTTAGGGCTTGAATATCAAAAGTTCCTGTTATTTATCTGCTTTTGAAACAGAAAGCCATAAATAGAGGGTTCAATTGAACGTTTGGTAAGAACGCTCCCAGAGCAGCGAAGGGTTTATTTATTTTGCTTTAAAAATGCTGTACCGCTGTTTTGTTCCCTGTCTTTTGATCTGGGCCTCTGTCTAGGCCCAGGATGGGGAAGCCACGCTCCCTGGGTGAAAGCAGCACTCCCCTTCGCGAGGAAGGAAGCGGAGCGAGGCAGGATTCGGTACAGCACGTTAGCAGCGAGCATCCCAGGAGCCCTGCTGCTGCCCTTGTGATTCCTCTTAGGGCACAGATCTTCACTAATCACACAAGCAACCTTATCACATGGCAGTCAGCAGTGCCTGGAGCTTAACCCTTCATCTCCCGAAACAACATGCTCAGACTTGCACCTGGCGAAAGAGAAGCGACACTAACAATACAAGGCATTTTTCCTCTGAACTAACTCTCCTCCCATCTTGGGCTGGAAAATTTCACTCCCCTACCCCACCAAGCATCACATTTGCAGAGGCCTGGTAACAAATCTAGATGCACGGACCTTTTCAGTTCTGGCACTCGTCTTTCTATTGGTGGGGTTAGAGGGTTCGCTGGAGAGGGAATGGGAGCAGCTGAACTGGGATGCAAGAGACGAAATGCAGGTGGAACGTAAAGGCCAAGTAACAAACTGGCCTTGGCTTGTGGTGCTCACCTCCCCACAAAGCAAAGTGGAGGAGGAATTAAAGGAAGAGGGAATATCTATCATTTCCATTTCTGTCTACAAAAGGCAATATTCCCTGCAAAATGCCCTCTGCTCACAAAGCTGCCTAGGAAAGCAGCCCCACTCTGCCTTCCTCCCTGCCCCCGTTTGCTATCCCATTTGCAGGGGGATGCTGTTGGTGTGAGTTGCAGAAGAACTGCGGCTACAGTATAGCAGCACATGCACTGGGCAATCAGGTCTGGGAAATCCAGCCCCAGCTACATCCATACTCATGTCTCTGTCATCCCATGGTCAAATAGGGATTGCAACACGTCATAACATGATTAAACCACCAGAGTAGCTGAGACCTCTCTCTTCCCCGGGACAAACCTTGTCTTTCCAAGTGTCCACATGCTACCCCTTTGTCACAAGTTTTATTTCTTTCAGGCCTCATCGCTTCCTGGTTGCAAGACAGAGCCTGGACTCCTTAACAAGCACTCTCTGAAGATTGCATCTCAGCAGAGCAGTTGTCCTCTCCCGCCATTGCAACAACAAGGCTCTTTCCCACCCTGCCAACTGGTGGATCACCAGAGAAAATAATTTGTGCTTGCCAGTAATGCCTTTACAGACTTAACTGGCACCGTACTATACATCTTGGGGGAATAAAGCCAAACTCCAGCCATGGAGGGTATGCCAAACGTCCTCTCCACATGGGCTAAGCCATAACATACACTGGGTGAGCTCTGACTACATCTGCGTTGCCCTGATCTTGCTAAGAGCCCCACACAGAGATAATTAGACAGAAGTTCAAGCAGTTACTAGACAAATTCTTGGAACAGAAATCCATCAAACACAAAGATACCGCCTCTGGGCGCAGAAGACCTCAAAGCGCAGAGGAGGCTGAAAGCATACTAGGAGGCACCACAACATGTTTGCCTCGCACTCTTCCACAGAGGCTCACTATTGGCCACAGCTGGAGACCGGGGATGTTGGACTAAATGTCCCTCCTCTAGAATTTGTTACGTATTTACTTACTAGGACTGGCTGCTCCAAACAGCGAGGTATGAAATCCTGTTCCTGACAGACACTCTACTTCTTACTCTTTCAAGTCTGAGTTTACAATTCAAACCTCTAGATGGACTGTGAATCAAACGAATGGACAGACCTGCAGGTGAGGCTGCCAAGCACGGCCTCTGCTGCTCCCAGAGAGCAGAGGCTCCCTCGCAAGCATGCCGTGGCCCAGGGCGTGCTGCAGGCCAAAGCGTGCTCTGCTCGTCCTCTTCGGCTCCTCTCCGTCCCTCTCCTGCTCACCGCCCCTGTTAGGAGCAGGGGCTGCAGGCAGCCGCTCTCCGGGCAGTGCCCTGCCTGTGCCTGGCACCCAGGTGATCTGGAGCCTGGTTTGAACTGGCTGTTCAACTGCATTCTGCTCTACAATTAACCAAATTAAGGTAACAAGCTGTGACATAAACCCTACTTGCTGATCTTGCCAGCTGCCAAGACTCTGGTAATTGCTCCAGCAAGTGATGGGTCACCTGGGGCCTTTCTGTGGGAGGGACCTATTTCAGTCCAAGCGCTGCATGCTCAGACCCTTTTTGGAAAATGTTCATTTGCTCCCCAGTCATGTCCATTCTGGTTTTAACAGCACAGCCATCTTCTATTGCAGTAAGTGGTTAATCATAATTAAATAGTTTTAGCTTGCCTAAGCAGTGCGGAGAGGGAACACAGCCATCTAGAGAACTCGGCAAGACACGGGGAGGCCATTCAGTGCATTTCACTCGTGGACAAAACTGAGCCAAAGAGAAATGTGTTGTGTATATGAAAAACCCCTGCTCACTCCCAAATCAGAACATGCAAACCGCAAAGCACCCCCTAACCTGCCATGCCCACCTGGCCTCAGCAATTGCATTCCCCTTTGGCTGGAGGTGAAGTCAATGGTTAGAGCGCGACAAGCCCACAAAACATAATTGTTTCATATCAACTCTCCAGCATAAGATGCCTGATTAATCTCCAGCATGCTCGATGTGATTCAGAGGTGCAGAATACTGGCCACTTTCCCAGCTTCCTTGTTCACTCTCTCCTTCAGCACAGCCTTCCACTTTCCATCTGCACCATTACTAAGAGGGTGAGTAAGGGGAACGTAGCAGCTTTCCTTCAAAGCTTAGCGCTGGTAAAAGAACTGGACGCCAATGTAACAAGAAACAGTATGGGCAGCTGCAGGGCACGCGTTTCCTGCGATCTTTTGCGCATAAGCCTCGGCCCCAACTTGCAGGGACACACTCAAAGGCTTGAGGGATGTTTACTATCCATAAGCCTTGCCTCATCTCCATCAGAGAGGATCTACAGTGAGAGTTAATCATGGGTTAGCTGGGTGAACATCCGCCTGGTTTGGCTTCGGTCTCCAAACTCCTTCCAGATGGCTCCAGCTCTGCCATCAGCAGATCCCCGCATCCCAGGTTGTGTCCTAGAGCCAGTCCCCAGCAGGAGCTCACCCTCCCAGCACAGCCAGTGGTGCAGCAGCTCCTTGCTGCATGCGACAACACACAGCGTGCGCAAAGGCATCACTGGCTGCTGCATCTACCCTCATTTTCTGAAGAGCAGGTCATTCCTGATGTGGCAGGAAATGACAAAATACACTTTAAAACCCCCCGAAACATCGAGTTGATGAGCAGGTTTGTCCTCTGGTTTACCCTATGGACATGAGGGGTTATGAGAGCAGGTCAAAGGGAAGCTTGTGGCAGATTCCTGCAGCTGTGCTAACTGCTTATTCCTCTCCAAATGGCTGGGTATGATTAAGTGCGGGTTCAAATGGAAGTGAATGCAGACAATGACAACACTTGCTCTCTGCTGGTATCTATGTGCAGTTGTGCTTTGAAACCTAAGGGAGCCTGCTTTTAATTACCAGCCGTGAATTCCAAATTTTCCTGTCATTTCAGCAAGACCCCTCCAGAGACAACCTGCCTGCTACACTCTGAGGACTATACTCACTCCTTTGCTCTTAGCAGAGTTTATCCACTCAGCCCCTAGGTCTCATTACAGATGTGGCTCGAGGAGCTTTTTTCAGACATTCGACCCATGCTGCTATTGGCAGTGGAGAGGAAAATCAGAGCAAGTAAACTTCTCTCCCTCAAGTTTTCTTAATCACAGCATGTGTCACCAAAAAAGGTGGAAAAAAAAAAAAGTTTGGCCAGAGAATTAGCAAAATAAGCCTCACTCAGAGAAACAGATCAAACGGCCATTTCCCAGCAAAAGGCAAAAGTATTCAATACATGAAGGATATACACGTATGTGTGGGCACACACATTGCCAAGATGTTGCCTCATACCTGGAGTGCTTAGATGGTATTTTTATTAGGCTTCATAGACAGGCTAAGCACACCTTAATATCTGAAGGTTTAGACCTTCAATTCTGCATTTTTAGAAAACATCCCCTGTTCAATTTAGAATCAGCCAGCCATGACTACACTTCTAAATACCCTTTTACAAAGAGCAAACAATATCGGGGGGAGCGAGGGGAGGACGAGAGAATTGTGCTGCTGCTGCATTATGTAGTACACATCTATTTAAAGAAAAACCTTCATTAAAAACAAGGTTCCCTGCCTAGACTAAACTCTCCACGGCACACGTCTGGAGTTCAATCTGCCTACTTTGTCCTTAGTTTACCCTGTGCTTGTTCAGCAAATGCAGCTCTCTGCTGGTCGCTGATAAGCACAAGGATGGGAGCTGGAGAGAGAGTAATGCTGATTGTTACCATCCTGGCAGGCACTTGAGGCACCACAGACAAGAGATTTAAGATCAGAAATCAGGCACTAAGAGAGAGAAGGGAAGATCACTTCAATAAAAATAATTCAATAAAATGAGTGTTAAATTCTATTTCCCTAAGTCCCTGCTGCCCAAGTGTTTTACAAAGATCTTTGGCTGAGGAATCACAGCGAGGTCTGTAGTCCAACTCTGCAGCCCTCTGCTAACGCACAGCAGCCAGAAACGCACCTCGCTGTTTGCGCTGCCCAAGGTTAGATAAATGTTTAAGAAACCATAGAGTATCAACAACAAAAGAGCCGGAATATTCTTTTGATTAAAAGATACGTTTTTAAAACGGTTTTTGACCTCAAAACTTTCACCAAATTTCCCCCCATATGAAAAGTATCAGCACATTAATCTTAAAGACTAGCACTTTTTTTTTTGGATCATTTCATTCCTAGTTTACTTTTTAAGCCATTGTGCAGGTGATTTGGGTATGAACACAACAGCCATGGACCTAACCACAGATCTCTCAGCTCACATCCTCCGAAAAGCAGGAGTCGGTGGAGAACCACCCTTAGAGCTGCGTGGCCCTCAGCCCACGCTGGCTGTGTGACCTAGTCCCAGACGTCCCGACTTCCAGCTAGCTGTGTTGATCACTGTCATCTTACTGTCTGCCTGTCCACTAGGTAACAACATGGCCAAAAAATACGTAAAGATGACTGGACAGAAGGCAATTTCTAAGAGCTGATAAAGCAGTAGAACAAAAGAGCAGCCCACTGTTCAGTAACAGTAGAGTGAAAACACGCTGATCCCGCCTGTGCTAGAAGTTACACAATTTAAGTGCTACATACTTGTGGGTCATACAGCTGGGGGTAGAACTATATGGATTTTCACATCGATATACTAAGTCCAGGACATTGAAGTTTTACAGCAATACAACTCTAGCCACAGGAAGGTTTTTAAAAGTGGACCTTTTGTATTAGTAAAATAATCGTATCCCGAGTGGAACAGCTATACTGGGTCAACTTTCAAGTAGTTGAAAGGCTGTCTAAGTATGAAACCAAATTCTACCCTCCTTTTGAAGTTGCATGAAAGAAGTGATGCAAAACAGCTGTCCACAGAAAGATCACAAGGAAATGCTGTTTTCTGTGTGGTAATATTGCTACATATTTCTTTGTCTTAAGATGATACTGGTTTTCTGAAAAATAATAAAAATGCTCAATGAAAGGATTAAAAGAAAAAAGCCAAAAGCTGAAGGGGTAGAGGTCAATACAGGGAAGAACATACTTCTGTGAAGTCTCAGAAGTTTCCACATTTGAGCAAGAAACTGTGGTATTGCTCCTCTACTCTGTTTATGGAGACTTTAAACATAAAACAGCAGTGGGGAGCAGCCATTAAAATAAGTTCATCAGCACTGTTCAGACACTATCCAGAGTGTCATGGGAACACACAACCCCTTCACCTCCGTAATTTCAGGACCAGACAAATTGCCACAGAAGTATTTTCAACTTGGCGTGTATTTTCCTCCAACAATAGTTGCCAGCTAAGGACTGAACTCACCGAGCTGGTAGTGCTCAGAGTCCTCTTTGTCCGAAGAGCTTTATGACTGGTATAAAAGAAAACAAGGGCACACAGAAGAACAGTGAAAGCATGACGCGCTGTGGCTGTGGGACTCAGGATCACCCACACACTCAGAGGTTAAACAGGCTTTTAGAAAAGTCACCCATTTAAAAGTGTCAGCGCTTTAAAAGACTAGGCCTATAGTATTTCACCTGGAGGACATCCAGCAATTCTGTACTGCACTAACGCAAAGTACAGCCTGAGAGATTCACAGAAACGAAGGCTTCCAAGCGCACCTCATCTGCCACCGCGCTCCAAGGCAGGTTTCACTGCACTTAAACGATTCCCGAGAGACGTTGATCTAATCTGTTTGCAGAAACCTCCAGTGAGCGCTTCACAGCCTCCCTGGACAACCTATTCCAGTCCGGTTTTACAGCTAAAAGTGTTTTTCTAATGGCTACTCCCAATTTCCCTTGCCTCTCAGCTGGCACCCATTACTTCTCATCCCAATGAACATGGAGAACAGGACAGTCCTTCCCTCTTTACAGTATGCTTTAAGTGATGCTGGTGTGCTTGCCTTGAAGGAAAATGAAAAAACGTACGTATCCCTGCTACAGTGGGGCATCGAGTTACCTGGCATGATTTAAAGAAAAGTTCACAAAGTTGCGAAAGAAATATATATATGTGGAAGCTAAGGAAGGGCATATGAAAGGAGCTTGCAAGCTCTTAAAGACTTACCAGAGTTTGCAACTCCCATAAGATGATTAATAAAAGTTCGTGTTGGAGCATGGGCAGGATTCTAGGCAGCACGTTGTTAAATACAAACTCAGACAAGCAGCGGCGTGCAACTTGGGACAACTTCTAAATGTGGGCTTCATGAGAAGAATCCTTTGTAAATCCAAAGGCTCCCAACTCTGATCCAGCTCCCTTTATACTGAGTGTTGCATGCACACACAGGAAGAGGTCTCTGCCCTCAGATGTTATGGTCTATTTGATCTTGTTACTTTTCATTCTGAAGTGGCCAGGTAGTTTAGCAAGACACTGAACGTCACATGAGATGAGCTATACTGCAAGATACACTCAGCTACACAGCAAGATGCATACAAGTCACTGTAGCACATCTGGGACCTTTTGAGACCGACCAAAAACTGGAAACTGCAGTAAGTTTCATACCGCCTCCACCCAGAAGATGTTCACAGCTTCAAGTACTCTATGGCATTGGCGGAGATCAACTTTTTCGGCAGAGAATAAATGGCGCAAGCCACCTGCTCAGCCCTGGCCTGTTATCACGTACGGCTGTGCACTTCACAGGCAGTGTTACAGGTCAGCTGAGGGCACGAGAAAGTGGCATCCAGGACATCTTTGCTAGAGGGAGCTGCACAAAAGACTCCATTCATATGTTGGCAGAAATACCGCTGGCTGCCAAGAGACTACATATTGTGATAGAGCAAAGACAGAAAGGCAGATGACAAGTCCTCAGGAGATAAAAAGCTGCTGAGACAAAAGAGTATAGTATTGGGGGGGAGGGGGAGAAGGGGGACGCTTTACACAACACTGACTCATATGTAACCAATGAATTTCAATGGACTGAACCAGTGTTTATAACTGACAGACCAGGGCAGAAAGTGATTCACCCTCAATGAAAGAGCCAAAGAAAAGTACAGAGAGAGGGAAGGTGATTCTGAAGATGTAAAATAAGGTTATTATCCGCAAACAAAAAAGGATTGTAAATCAAGATTTCCTGTAGTTCAGGTTAATTATTATATTTCAGACATTTGCTGGTAAAATGATAAAGGACTAACAAAGATTTATTTTTTCCTTATCCTGGTTCTTCTAACAGACAAAAAAAAAAAAAGTTCAGCTAAGCAGTCTGGGGAGATTAGAAGAGGAGGGAGGTGTATTTTGTGATAAGCCTTGAACAATGTTCCTGTAGAGGGTAGGCACTAAGCTGGAAGAAAATAAAGCCTCTGATAAAGCAAGAAATTCTGCAAAGACAGCACTAGCTCTCAAAGCTCAGGCAGGAATTAAAAAGACCCGCGAACACACACAAACATACACACACGCATCTGCCAGTACAGAGATGGGAGGAACTATCTTTAGTCTTTTACCCATATTTAACAAGTAGGGCCTGTACTGTTCCCTGAGAAAAGTTTATTTCCACAAAACTCGCATTAAAAAAAGCAGACAATAAAGCTTATCTGTGCAGATTAGTCAGTCAGCTGGCTTTGGAACAAAATATCTCCCTTGGTTTGAGAGTATTTTACGTGTATATGAAGAAAACAAGCAAAAAAACCCAGAAGATTTGCTGTATCTTCCAATTTTTATCTACTCTTGAATTTCAGTTGAAAGACATCAGTGCCTGTTTCAGCTGAGAGCCCTAATATCATCACATCACTACTGCTCATCACGCAGTGAGAGCGCAGGTTTCTGCAGCCTTGCCTGACCCAGCTATTTCAGCCTTTCCCTGGCAGGACCTTTTCCTGTGTGAGCCTATGGACTAGACCAGGATATTCCAAACCTGAAGCAGGAAGAAGGGAAACGTGCAGGCATAGTTTGTGAAAGGATGAAAATTACTTGGGCAGAGGGCATGGGACGGGGAGTGATTTTGCTGATGCAGATACTTCTCTGCCAGCAAGCTGGCCATGACCAGAAAGGACCAGCCAGCAGTTCTGTAACTGCAGCCAGTTACAGAAAGGACTTCTGAGAGCCACAGCACCAAAGTTTTCAGTGTTGACTTTGCAGCCCTGCAGTCTAGAAGTGAGAGACCACACAGCAACTGGACAAAGTAGTAAAAGAGTTTGGGTGGTATAAGCTGCATCCCCGTAGCCTGAAATCCAGCATAACTTTAGCGAGGTAAATGCAAAACCTTGTACCTAAAACACACACATGCACTCGCTTCTTTACACAGTATGTGCTGGAAACATCAACCAAGCATGCAAGAGAATAAAAGACGCTTGGAATGCGTTTCTACTAGCTTTGAAATGCTTGGGATAAGACTGCAGGGCTTTATCTCTAATTCCCGATCCTGCTCTAACTGCATGCCACCTTCAACAGAAAAAGGAAACATACTCACCCTTTGCAAGCTGAACGAAGCCAAGAATGATGATCAGAGCCAGCGCCAGCAGTTTTGCCGCAGCAAAGGCATCCTGAACACGAGTAGCAGCTTTCACACTGTAACAGTTCACTGCTGTGAGTAGCACTGAAAGAAACAGACAAGAAAAGACATCAGTTTTCACTGAAATCTTTAGAAGGCAAAATAGATCGTGACAAATTGTCATTTGCTTTTTGTTAAATTTTAAACAAAGTGTCCTTTAAAAAAAAAAAAACATGAAGTTCACAGCTGCAACCTTATGCAGCAGTTTTAGGAGCTCCTTTCTAATGATTTGGCAGATAAGTCTGAGACCATTTAGTATTGCATTAGCCACAACTAGCCTCCAGCCATAGAGAAATGCATACTGACTGCTTCCACTTTGTAGATCAGAGCCCTGTTTCTCTTCAAAGATTTGCTCTATTTTGGGTAACAAACTTAAATTTTGAACTGTGCTGTCCAGGAATTAAAACAGAAACATTTCAAAAGCAATGCTCTGCAGCTAGACACTTTTCTGTTCTGTCTTCTGTTTTTGCAGGAGGTGGTTTGAATGGTGCATACGTGCTTTGGGACAAGGAACTGCCCCTTTCTATGGGGAAAGTTTCTGAGGGCATATAGATAAAAGCAGTTACTGCAACCATTAGCATTAAAGTACTCGGCTGCAACCCCTGCTAAGTCAATCCAATCCAGACTGCGGTCAGGGCAGCTTAAGTGAAAACACCATAGAAACGTCAGTACAACTTCCAGAACTGATATAGTGCTGTTTGTATAACAATAGCACCTAAAAGGCTATCAAGGCCACACTGTGCTGCTTACTGCATAAACATAAAGGAAGAGATAGCCCTGTCCTGACATAACAGCAAGCTATGAGACTAATAAAGTGGGCAGGTCAATGGCAAAGACAGGAAGAGAACCCGGATCTAATGCAATTCTCATCCTGTGCTTGACCCACCTGATCAGCGGGGCCCGGGAAGGTCACGCAGACTTCCACAGACGAACACTGGGGCTACACTGCAGCTTTCCCGTGTCTGAAGGCAGAGACGGCTGCACAAAGCAGGCCGGCTAAGCGGCTCGGCTTTGCTGTGGCTGGCCCACAGCCCCGTACATCGATTGCCCTTGTACTTGATCATACTGCCTCTGTGCGCAGGA